TTTTGGAAAATTCAACTACGCTGAAAAAAGTTAGGTTTTGTGAAGCTCTTGTTTTTTCATTTTTGCGCTTACTTTAATTTCAAGTGAAGGTGTTTGGTGAAGAGATTCAAAGATGGATCTCACCAGAAAATGACCACTATCAAAATATTCTTGACCAGCTGCCGACTAGGCAGTCTTGCTGGTGCTATCTCCATAGCAATATCCTTCGCTTTCTATAAAACATGCTAAGCTTTCGTCCGTCATGTGCCAGACATGATCAGAGCAGATTATCATTCTAACAACCATAGTTAAGTTAACTAATCCTGAAAATTCCCCGGCCCATTTCTAGATGCTGTATATACACCCTATTTCTATTGTCGAGTCGGTTGGTTTCGATGACATCTCCAATTTTACACAAATCAGCAAAACGAGGGGTTTATACTGTAAGTTCATGTCTAGTCGACTTATATGGAGACAAAAAACTCATCAGTTAACCTAGAGGTGTGTCTGACTTTGTGCGATTGCAGTGATGGTGATGGCGGTCATTTAACCTTGATGACCAAAAAGTAAAGTTACTTTTCTCTTTTTATTACTTTTGACCATCATCACTGAATTTGTACATTTACCAACACTTGCTTCAAGGTTGACATATGACTTAAACTAACCGAATCAATCTGTACCTCATCAAAGAACTTGGATTTGAAGTAAACATGCAACATTTAGTGATGAGCTGGTGCGTTTTCCCTACTCGTCACCATGGTCATGGTTGCCCGATTAATATCCCTAATGACATACGTCATACCACGGACGAAGGATTAGCACGTTTTCACTGGAATCGAATGAGATTTCCTCTCATTTGGCGTCAACAAGAATGTTCCAGTAAAGCTAATCGACAGCCGGTCAAAAGGATTACACCATCTTCGAATCTCTTCTACAAGCACTTTCACTCGAAATGAAAGTGAGTTCAACAACATTCAACTATGCTTATGCCATCTTGATTGACTGCTGTACCCAGACTTAAACCAAATCACTATCGATCTGCATCTGTCCACCTCGTGATCGATACTACCGAAAAGTGCACCAGTCACTCAAATTACGGTCTAAAGACAGTTTTTATTCATACCTAAATTAGTATTCGGTTCACTTTAGCTCGACACAACTCATCGTTGGTGATGATTTCTCCAATGTTGCCTCTTCCAGCCCAATTACTGCGCTGCGAACCGCCGTTCGTCCAGATTAGTCGCGTCAAGGAGACCGAAGCGTAACAGGCACGAATGCCCGGTTGTACCAATTCTACAAAAGCGGTAAACTGAAGTGGTACTAACAGGTCCATGAAGCCAAAGGCGCGACTAGTCATCGAAACAGTGAAAACAGCCTATTTCAACAACACAATCGATCGGTCGACACGACCGAAAGTCATCTTCATTGCGACAATTTCATTCTACAAATTGAGTCAAATTGGCCGCTGACTCACGTGGCTTTGCCGGCCGATCACAGCCACATTGTCCAGCCGTAATGTCGTTGAATGCTAAAACAAAGTAATTATCGATCGGCGTCTGTCCACCTCGTGATCGATGCTGGCAAAAAGTGCAAGAGTCACCTGGAAAGGCCGTAGAGTGGATAAAGGACGAAACGGACATCAAAGAACGTTGAAATACGGAGCTGTATTTGTGCACATTTTGTGGTATTTTCTTTCTTTTTGTTTCATTAAAACTTCACAATAATGCATACAACAATTACTCTCTTCTACGAAGCAAATTTACTAGACAATAAGTCACATGGTTTTGAGAATTTGCTCAGATTTCGACTAAAACGGGACACAATTTGGTTCACCTAAATACTCGAAAGATTGACAGTTAAGCTGCGGAATGATTAAAGAAACTGCCTGAGAGTTTTATGACCAAATCGAGCTTTCAAAAGAATTGCCCAGCTTCGATCCCGTCCACAGCAATGCGGGGCCTCAAAGTGACGAGTCTGATGGTATAACATAAAATCACAATTCTGGCGTCTAAGATTCGGAAGTAGAGGGAAGATCGTGAGGGCTGGAGAGACCAGTTTAGGCTTGAAAAGCCAGCTTGAGTGTACTGGCAACGGTAAACTCATTTTCGCAAGTAGGTCCCTACGTCGAACAATCGTGACTAGATACGAAGAGAAACTTGTTTTCAATGAATCTCTTGAGATAACATTGTTAGGGGAACCTTCATTTCGAATGAAAGTGCATGAAGAAGAGATTCGTTGATCTATCTCACCAGATGAGGACGGATGAAAC